TCCGCAAACTGGGGAGAGTCGAGTCGAGCCGAGTAGAGTCGGGTCCGTGGAAACGGCCCATATGTCTCTCAGCTGGCCTGGGAACGCCTTGGGGTCCCCCCGGACGAGCTGGAGGAAGTGTGTGTGGATAGGGAAGTCTGGGCGTCTCTGCTTAGACGGCTGCCCCCGCGACCTGGCAACGGATGAAATGGAAGAAAATGGATGGAGGTTGAAGTTATACCATCTGACTGGACTCACACCTCCACTGGACAAAGTGGTTGTCTGGTTTTCTGTCCTCCCTCTAAACGCACTCAATGTTGAACTCAATATGATGCTCAAAGTATAACAGTGGTGAGTAGGCTTGTCGCGCGATATTCAATAAATCAATTAATTGCATGATAATTAAAAAAAATTGCTCAATAATTTTTCTGGCCATGGTAAATTCCATTTGCATGCTTGTTGCATGTAGCAAGCAGACTGAAAATACTCAAAAATACAAAATACAGCCAAAACAGGACCTAAACCAGGACTAAACCAGGACTTAACCAGGATTTACAATGGGGGAAACAGTACTTGTGAACAAAATGTATGCCAGCCTGAGTTCTCATTCAGGCTCTAGTAGTGACTAAACTAGCGCAGCTAGCATCAGCGTGTTTGGCAATATTCAATAAATCAATTAATTGCATGATAATTAAAATTAGCTCAATAGTTTTTCTGGCCGCGGTAAATGCCATTTACATGCTTGTTTGTTTTCCCCGTCTTAGCAGTGTAGCAAGCCGACTGAAAATACTCAAAAATACAAAATACAGCCAAAACAGGGCCTAAACCAGGACTAAACCAGGACTAAACCAGGATTGACAATGGGGGAAACAGTACTTGTGAACAAAATGTATGCCAGCCTGAGTTCTCATTCAGGCTCTAGTAGTGACTAGACTAGCGCAGCTAGCGTCAGCTTGTTCGGCAATGCAGAAGTACCGTTTAATAATAAAATAAACGTATGGAGCACCTCCGTGAACACATACTGCATTTATATAAAGTCTCTGGAAGGTCTCTGGACAAAGAGACGCTGCAGCAGTGGCGGAGCCAGGGGGGTAGCCAGGGTGGCCACTGCCACCTCTAAAAATACCCTTGCCACCCCCAGTGCCCCCCTCGGAAGACGGCAATGTAATAATGTTAATCTTGAGAATCTTCCGCACTTTTTCCGCCAAAAACTAAACATTCCCACGGTTTCCCCCGTCTGTGAACGCACCTTGACTCCGTGTGGAGCCAGTGCTGTATGCTAATGCTTTGGGTTGTTGGACTCACACATGTGCCCAAGTCGTGATGAAAACAAAGAGGTAAGTTAGCGACGTAGAGCCAACCGTTTACATTTGACACAAAGTATAGACACACGTACTGCAGCGCATTACTTGTTCAGTTTGTAGTACATTTAGTGTGTGTGTGTGCATGCCTGTGTGCGCGCCTGTGTGTGCCATCTTGTGTCTGCGTGCCTGTGCGTGCCATTGTGTGTCTGCGTGTCTGTGTGTGCCATCGTGTGTCTGCGTGCCTGTGCGTGCCAGTGTGTGTGTGCGTGCCTGTGTGCGTGTGTGTTTATGCGTGCGGGTGTGCATGCGTGTGTATTCTCCATTAATAATTGCCCATCGTATCATCGCCCTCTTCCCTTTAGTGTAAACATTAAAAGAAAAGGAGGAGACATTGCGTCTTTTTTGTTAGGAAAAGGCCTGTAGATCAGGATGATGAAACCTGAAGGTCAGACTCGGAGGCAGTATGTTTTGAGATGATGAGGAATTTGTTGTGTTGTATTTAAGTATAGCTTATACAATTCAGTTTCAGAGAATGAGAGGGAGTCGCAGACAGGTGTAGGATTGACTATTGGCAGAATTAGAGAGGCGTTTTTTCATACACAAAAAAGAAAAGAAAAGCTAAGATTATGGATGATGTGCAGTCGCTTGACCCCAAAACATTTTTGAAAGAAGAGCCCCTGTTTTCATTTGGCAGAACCTTTGAGTCAGATATAGAGGACGTTAAGCATGAAGTACGTCAAACTAGGCGGCTTCTTGGTAGGAAAAAATGGATTAGAGAGTCCCTATTGGACTTCCTTGTCCTTTTGGAACGTTTGGAAAGTGTTTCATGAGCTTTTGAGGCTTGCAAAGATCTTTTAAATACCTGTCAGTACTGCGTCTTGTGAAAGAAGTTTCTCTGCCCTAAATCTTATTAAAGACCATTTCAGAACGACTATGGCAGATGATTGAGTCATCTTGGTATCCTCAGTGTAGGGTAAAGGAGGGCTCAGGGCTGAATATGGATGAGTTTGTCAACATCTTTGCTGCTTTACACCAGAACCACAGGAATTTGCTAAATTTGTTAAAAGAAAAATGAAATGCAATGGTTGAATGATGTCATTTAGCACTTTTTTTGTTCAGACTACTGTTTAAATACACTTTTTTGCTTTGTAGTTTCCAAGTGTGCTCTCAGTTCACTTTATATAAAAAATAAACATAAGATTAAGATTAAAATGTATCGTTTAGCCAGTTTTTGTGTGAAATTAAATTTCTGAATAGTATAAATGTGGACCCCTTAAAAAAACCTTGCCACCCTCTGTTTAAAAGTCTGGCTCCGCCACTGCGCTGCAGAGCTGCATTCTTGGAGAAGAACTTTACACAAAAAGCTGCTAGCTAAAAACGGACCTAATCTTATTTTGTTGGTATATTGTGGTTGTTTTTTGTGTTAAATAAAACTCATTTTGACAGATAGTTTCACCCTTAGCAGTTTAAAAGTGGACAGAACTGAAAAGTCTGGAGGTGGTTTGACAAGATGGATTATTTTTACAGCTTATTTTTATCACCAGCTAAAGCCTAGTTTATACTTGCGCGGCGCGGAGCTTACGGAGGTGACGTGACGTCACTTGCGCAACGCGTTGGTCACCGCAAGGCCCTTACGTCGCCTGCCGCGCAGCATAGAAATTTTCTAACTACGTAAGGGTCGCCGCAAGGAATCTCCGCTGTGATTGGTCCGTGTGTGTGTATTGGAAGGAAGCACGGGGCGGCTGCAGCAGGGACATGGACGAGGCACTATGGAGCAGAGAGCTTTGTGCTTCGAAGGAAAAGCAGTTTGGGCTCAGAGCCTTATATACAGGAGACTGTGGACTATCTAACATTATATATATATATATATATATATATATATATAAACTGTGCAGTCGTTTGTTTTGCACTGTTCCTGTCTTGTTTGAATTGTAGCTGCGTTTGTTGCTTTCCTCCTGCACTCGTAAATTGTTCATGTTTGTCTCAGATGTTTACCACTATTATTGTTTTGCTGTTTGTGCTGAAAACTATTTAATAATAACCATGTTTCCAACAAGAACTGTGTCTTTATTCACAGCATCACAGTTGAAATGAATCCATAAAACTATCACATAAACCTACAGTAGAAACACGTGTAATGAGCTCAAACAGCTTTGTTTGCTATTGTTGTTCTGAAGAGGACAAAGTAACAGCGTAAATGGGACCGCTCCTGTGTGATCGCCCTCATGTGGTTTGTTGTGGGATTACAACATTCTCCTCAAAACTTCGTAAGGGGAACGCGCCAGTATAACATCAATTGTGCTTACGTAGGTCCACCGCAACCGCTAACGTAAGCCACGCCGCGCAAGTATACACTAGGCTTAACACGTCAATACCGACAACACCGAGAGAGAAGCCTCAACTCTATGTCCCAGCTCCAGATGTTGAGTTTGAGAAAGTGTCTTCAATCAAATGCAAACATATATGGTCTTATTCTGAACGTGTGTCTGTGGTTCTAGAGTCTTATACTAAACATGTGTCTGTGGTTCTGAAGTCTAAAACATGATGGTATGTGTCATATCTATATCTTTTACTAAACGTAGTTGGAGTGAAACATGGATTCATGGTTCAATGACAGTTATTGTGTTTTGTGCTGAATACTGGGTTGAAATTCGTAAAATTGGTTTTAGTTGAAGCTTGATAGAACTAATTTCATGGAACTCACACTGGTGTCTTCTCTCGGTTTGTTTGGACCGTCGCCTTCTCTGAATAAGTCAAAAGATCGTAGGGACTGCTGTTTACACTCTTGTTTCGGTAACTTTCACTGCTGCATCCCGGGGCCATACAAAATACACCCAGTTTAAGGTTTATTGGTGTCAAAGCAGCAGCAGGAGCAATGCCATAAACAGTAAGGCAGGAGCTGCAACCCCTACAAGTACGTCATTATTTTTCTGGCCAATCAGAGGCGTTGATATTAAAAAGTTATTTTACTGATTTATTACTTATCTATATTACAAAAACACATTGCAAAGGTGGGGAATACATTTTTTTTTATGTGTTTTATCAGAAAAAAAAAGTTTTTTTAGCTTTGTTAGCATCAAAGCCCGCCCACTACTTCCGCCATTTTCGGCGGTGGTCTTTAAAAACAAAAGTTTATTTCTCTTTGAAAAAGTGTACCTGCATCATTTTCATTGTATTAGATGAAAATGATCTCAGAACGACAATATTATCGCTTATCGCAATCATTTCTGAGACAATTAATTGTCCAGCAAAATTTGTTATCATGACAGGCCTAGTGGTGAGGTTGCCTCTTTCTACAGATCTGACTCGTAACTTGGCTCGGTGGCATCCCTACTGTTTCCAAGACGACGGTAAGTGGATTTTATACTGCGGATCAATACTGGATAAACGTAGCATCTGAATAATGAAAAAGCTTAAACACTAGAAGAAGAATTAAACTACTAGAACTCCCAGAGTGAGCTCCCTTTCAAATCAGTGAAATTCTCAAAAGTACCATCAGTTATATCCTAATTTTACTTATTCAAGTGAGAAAATTGGTGAAAGGCCTTTCAAACTAAAAAGATAATTTCATAGAAATAATGACACAGAAATAAACTACAAAAAGAAACAAAACATTGATTCCTCTGGGAGTTCTGGTGTTAATAAGAGTGGACCAAACTGTCTCAGCTCTCACCAGGATTAATTACTATCCCCCAGGTCTGAACAGGTTACTATTACCTCACTGTCGTCTTCAAACTCTTTCGTCGCCATCTCCAGAATGCCAATTTTCCGTTTCTCTGCTCTCTTCTCTGGAGGTTGTGGAGCTTGACAATTTCCTTCATCTAAAAAAGTTGTATCATTATCAGTGTTCTTCACATTTGGGAGACCAGAAAGAGGGAACAGAGAGACACCAGAGAGAGGGGAAAGGGAGAGAGACCAGAGAGAAACTATGGAGAGAGACCAAAGAGAGACTCAAAAGAGAGACCAGAGACTCTAGAAAGACCAGAGAGAGAGAGACGTGTGAGAGAGATCAGATAAAAAGACCAGTGAAAGCCCAGAGAGACCAGAAAGAATGACCAAAGAGAGACCATAGAGCAACCAGACAGAGACCAAAGAAAGAGACCAGATAGAGACTGGAGAGAGATCAGAGAGAGAGATCAGATAGAAAGACCAGTGAGAGCCCAGAGAGAAACCAGAAAGAAAGACCATAGCGAGAGACCAAAGAGGGAGACCAGAGAGAGACTGGGCAGCACGGTGGCTGAGTGGATTGGGTTCAAATCACGGTTGGAACAGGGCCTTTCTGAGTGGAATGTCTGCATAGGTTTCCTCCGGGTGCTCCGGTTTCCCCTACCACTAAAAACCATGTACAATACGTCTGGCATGCGCCTCCTGTACTGGCAACCCCGTTCTCTGTGTGGCGTGGGAGACAAATGGCCACAATTGTAAAGTGCATTGTGATTCTGGTCTGTGAAAGGCGCTATATATATCTATCTATAAATATCTATATATAAATAAAGATTACTTACATACTGGAGTGAGACTGGTGAGAGAGACCAGAGAGAGACTAGAACTCTCTCTAGTCTCTAGATTAGATAGAAAGACCATAAAAACCAAATAGAGACACCAGAAAAAGCTAGTGCAGCTTTAATCTTATGTAAATGCTACACCTGTTTGCATTATTGCCGATGGACCATCTTGACTCTCCTCTTGCATTTGCGCTGCTTCTCTGGACTGTGTCTTCTGGACTTTCTTCTGTGGTAATGGTTCTTCTCTCTGATGACTTCTCAGACTTGCCGCTGGTTTGGATTTTAAAAGAACCGGGGGCCATTTGAAAAGGACTTCTGTAGATGTCCCTGAGCGGAGCTTTCTGACATTTGGGACAGCCCCCAGCTTGACCTGTCGCTGTGTTAAAGGGCGGTTTACAGAGTTGGGTAAGAGGTCATTTGAGGTACGGGCATTAGTTTGTCTTTCCCCCACCGTCGGCACAGGCTGAGGTTGTGGGGTCTCATCGGTGTCTGATTGGCACAACTCCATCAGGTCGCTTGCCTCACTCTCCTGAGTTGGTTCTACATCTGCAAGTTCTTCTGACGACTGGGAAACCTTCAGAAGCAACAAGAACAAGAGCCTCATTAGCTGTGGTCCTATGGATTTGAGCCCAAAGACTTTGAGCCCTAAACTATGCTGACACCAATGTGCTAAACAGTGGGGTAACTAACTTTATTGTAAGTCACTATTTGACTAACTCTTTGGGCTGAGCGCTGAAGATGTGACAGAGGACAAAAATGCATGAATGTGAGAGAGACCCAGGAGGGAGAAACCAGAGAGAGACATACCACAGAGAGCGATACTAGAGAGTGATACTAGAGAGTGATACCAGAGAACGAGACCAGAGAGCGAGACCAGAAAGCGAGACCAGAGAGCGAGATCAGCGAGTGAGACCAGCGAGCGAGACCAGCGAGCGAGACCAGAGAGAGAGACCAGAGAGCGAGACCAGAGGCAAGACCAGAGAGCGAGACCAGAGAGCGAGACCAGAGAGCGAGACCAGAGAGCGAGACCAGAGAGCGAGACCAGAGAACGAGACCAGAGAGCGAGACCAGAGAAAAAGACCAGAGTTGTACAATTATTTTGAGTAAAACTTGCTTTTATTTCCTTCCGTCGATGGTATATAATCTCTATTTGGTGCACAATAAAAATTCCCGGTAGAAAGTGTGCCACTTGTCTAGTTCTCTGCATTGAACATTCGAGAATCTCCCAGAAGTAACAGTCTGACCTGTGTGACGTCCATCTCTGCTGACAGGCCCTCAGGACCCTGGGAGGCGGAATCAGGATTCTGGGGGGTGGGGTCACAATCCTGGGGGGCGGGGTCCAGATCCTGGAAGGCGGAGCCAGGAGAGGCGTCTCCCTCATCTTCATCCTCAGGTTCAGTTTGACCTGTGCTGTGCGTTTTGTTTTCCTGAAAACAAAACCAGACTCCTGGTTGAACAAACTCTGCGGGGGCATTACTACAGACGTAGTGTGCATTAGGGTTTAATCCCGGGATACGGGATTCCCGGGAAATCTGATGAAAACTATTTCCCGATTCCCGGGAAATGTTATGACGGGAAACGGGAAATGAAAGTAAAAAAAAAAATACAGTGCGCTCCTATTATAAAGCACGTTTATTGTTGTTCAAAGTTCAAACATATTTCATTTACAATCAACATGTCTACAGCTGAGAGGATGGCTTCTAAATTGTGTTTTTGACAACAAATATGGGTCTTAATCGCGCTAAACCACGACTTGTAATGAGGCCAGGCTCAGGGTACGGGGCACATGTGAGCCCAGAATTTGGTTACGTCCAATTCTATCAGAAAGCTCCTTTCTTTTTTTCCATCTGCTAAGGGCAGCAACAGGTTTGGCTAACATACATATAACAAATTTTAAAATCATATAAAATGCATTTAGGGTAATGTTCTGCTTACAATGACGATAGGAATGATAGGAATGATAAGGAAGAGAGGAGAAGGGTAAGAAGGTTGATATTAGAAATTGGATGCGCCCGAGAGCCGGCTGCAGCGAACACACGGAGGAGTTTATGGAGGTGGCACCCGTTTTGTTTTACGCTCTTTGGGCTTATTTCCAAATGGGGGATTACATATCTGCGCTCAAACTATTATATGGACTTAAACATGAAACTGGTCTGAATGAAGTGGTCTGTGCTGTTCATTAATAACTAAGGTAAGACCCATAACACAATTGGAAATGTGCCTTTTACGAACTTTTGCGTTTTGTTTGAGCAAACAATGCGGGCCATGGAAAACATTCTGCTGTAGCCAAACTAATTTTGAATAAGCCGCTCTGTAGGTTCTGTTGATTTATATGATATATGTTCATCTGATTGGGCTGAAGTCAGTGCCTCCAAACCACACCGCACGTCACTTTTCGACAAGTGGATTGCGCAGACATTTAGAATCTCATAATAGTGAAATTCCTGAAGAAAGCCCATCAACAAAACATCTGAAAATGCTATGGCTACTTTATAAAAGCTAGCAAGTCACTTGGTGAAACACTAGTGGAGATGGCAGCTTTTGTTGGATTATATATTTGAGTGATATCATACATTACTTGGGCTAAAAACAACAACTACAAACAACAGCTATTTCCCGGGATTTCCCGGGAAAGGCGTCGTCTTTTCCCGGGATTTGATACGTCTCATTTTCGGGAAAAATATTAAACCCTAGTGTGCATTACTGCAGACAGACTTCCTGCACAGGCATTACTACAGACAGACCACCTGTGTGTTCATTATGGCAGATGGACCACCTGCATGAGTGCGATACTGCAGACAGACTACATTCATGTGCTATACTGCAGACAGACCACCTGTGTGTGTTGCTGCAGATGAACATCCTGCGTGTGCATTACTGCAGACGTACCTGCATGCGCAGTTGCTTGTACTCTTGCAGTCGATGTGCTAGCTGCACTCTGAAGCGGTACTTCATGGACTGCCAGCTGTGGCCAGTCACCTGCTTCTGTGCCATTATCTGCCACAGTTTGTTTCCTCCAATCTCGGTCACGCGTTTGCTCACGTAGCGGAGAATAGCATCGTCCTCCTCGGTGGTGTAGGCAGACCGTCCTGCTCACAAGAAACATAAGAAAACGCAGATACTGTATACACAACAGGTGAAAGAGGAACACACAACACACTGCGTTTATTCGGTCAGAGAACAGACTCCACGATTTCCCACATAGATCCATCGTTATGAGATTCGCTCTTACAAATTGGTGTGGAGAGGGAAATTTGGGCGTCTCTGCTCAAAATGCTGCCCCCAAATCCAGGGAATGGAGAGAGTGGAAAAGAATGGACGGATAACTATGACAATTTGCAATTTGAAAATTTAAAAAACTATTATAAAGGAAGTCCTTTACCAAAAAAAACTGTAAAAGTTTCAGTCTGAAATGAAGATTTTCCAATGGAGTACTAGTACTTTTTGTGCCTCTTTATAAGTGAGAAAGTATCTTTTTCTATTGTTCAAACTGCTGAAAGATTATCACTGTTGTGATATAGGGCTATCAAAAAATGAATAAAATAGACTATTCTACATAAAAACCAAATTATATCAAAGTGTAAATAACCCATATACAAGGGTCGTTGTGCGGGCGTCGTACCTGATGCGGTCGCGGACCCTGATCTCCCGGACCCTGATCTCCCGGTGGGTTTTGTTCTGACAGAGTTTGCGGCCCCTATGTTCAGTCTGTAATCTTCTATGTTCAGCCTCTTGTTCTTCTCAGTGCAGTCTTGAATGTAATGCGTCGACACAAACCTGGAAGAAATATAAAACATCTATTTTAAACGAAAACATGTCTCTTGATCCCTGGTTTTATAAGCCAAAGATTTAATGCTGACATTTGCTTGCAAATCCAGAGGGGCGCTATATTTTCACTAACCATAGCCATACAAAGATATACAATTGTCAATGTCTATGAACCCAATAACAATGACCCAAGTTAAATGAAGCTTCAAATATTATAATGGCAGGCGACTTTAACTCAGTACTAAATCCAACTATAGATTTAGTACTGAGTTAAAGTACTCACTCTCCATCACAAATGATATAATATCACACTCATCCAACACAATAAAAAATATGGAGGACATGGAGGATTATGGTCTTTGTGGTGGCTTGAGAAAAACACACCCACAGACAAGACAGTACACACATTACTCCTTGGTTTACCACTCATCTTTGACTTCTTCCTCATTAACAACACCCTTTCAACATCCTCTCTGACATTACCATACATCCAATCATAATCAGTGATCATGCTCCAGTAGTCCTTACCCTAAATCATCAATGCAACAGAAAATGTCCTCACTAGATGAGGCTTGAATACATCAATCCTCAAAGATCCAGAATTAAATATCAGAATCAGAATCATTTTTATTGCCACGTAAGTAACAGGAGGTCACAGACTAGGAAATTGCTTTGGCTCAGTGCAACAGTCAAAAAGAGATAATAAAAATAAGAATAAAAAAACACTTCTAAAGAATAAATTTAAATTTAAAATAGAGTTACAGTTACTATTTACAATATACAAGTGCACATGGTGCACACAATGTAAGGTGACAGCAGTACAGTGAAGTAAAGTGACGTATGATGGGCAGTAGTGACTTTATAAAGGGCGGGGGGACAGGTTAAGAAGTGTTCAAGAGTCCAACAGCAGAGGGGAAGAAACTGTTCTTGTGGCGGGAGGTTCTAGTCCTGATGGACCGCAGCCTCCTGCCTGAGGGGAGTGGATGGAATAGTCCATGTGCAGGGTGAGAGGGGTCGGCTGTGATACGAACAGCCCGGCCTCGAGCTCGGGCGACGTACAGGTCCTGCAGCGATGGAAGGCTGCGGCCGATCACTTCCTCTGCAGAGCGCACAATGCGCTGTAGTCTCTGTTTGTCCCTGACTGTGGCTCCAGCGAACCACACGGTGACGGAGGAGGTGAGGATGGACTCGATGATGGCCGTGTAGAACTGCACCAACATCTGTGCAGGCAGCTTGGCTTTCCTGAGCTGCCGCAGGAAGTACATCCTCTGCTGGGCCTTCTTGATGAGGGAGCTGATGGTCGGCTCCCACTTGAGGTCCTGGGTGATGGTGGTGCCCAGGAAACGGAAGGACTCCACAGAGGTGATGGGGGAGTCCATCACGGAGGGTGGGGGCGGGGGGACAGTGCTCTTCCTGAAGTCCACAATCATCTCCACTGTCTTCTGGGCGTTCAGCTCCAGGTTATTACCACTGCACCAGGACACCAGCCGGTCCACCTCCCTCCTGTAGGCGGACTCATCGTTGTTGGAGATGAGTCCAATGAGGGTGGTGTCGTCCGCAAACTTGATCAGCTTCACAGAGTCGTGGCTGGAGGTGCAGTGGTTGGTGTACAGGGAGAAGAGCAGGGGAGAAAGAACACAGCCCTGTGGGGCTCCTGTATTTATAATCCGAGAGTCCAAGACATTCTTCCCCAGACGCACTCGCTGCTTCCTGTCCGTCAGGAAGTCAGTGATCCACCTGCAGGTGGAATCGGGCACGTTGAGCTGGGAGAGCTTGTCCTGGAGCAGGGATGGCAGGATTGTGTTGAAGGCAGAGCTGAAGTCCACGAACAGGACCCTGGCGTAGGTCCCCGGGGAGTCCAGGTGCTGTAGGATGTGGTGGAGGGCCAGGTTAATGGCGTCGTCTACAGATCTGTTGGCTCTGTAGGCGAACTGCAGGGGGTCCAGGCGGGGGGAGGTGAGGGACTTGAGATGGGAGAGAACCAGGCGTTCAAAAGACTTCATGACGACAGACGTAAGTGCTACAGGTCTGTAGTCATTGAGTCCTGTGATCCTGGGCTTCTTCGGGACGGGGACAATGATGGAGGATTTGAAGCAGGCCGGGACATGGCAGGACTGCAGAGAGGTGTTGAAAATGTCCGTGAACACAGGAGTAAGCTCACTGGCGCAGTGTCTCAGAGTGGCCGGAGACACGTGGTCCGGGCCAGGAGCTTTGCGGGGGTGCAGCCTCAAGAAGAGTTGTTTAATGTCTTTAGAGGCTATTGTTAGGCTGGGGGCAGGGCTGATGGGTGGGTCGTTAGAGTATTGGGGGGTGGGGGAGGGAGAGGTGTCAGGGGCAGCATCAAAGCGACTGAAAAATAAGTTCAGTTCGTCAGCTAGCTTGTGGTCGTCAGCACAGGGGGGGGCTTTGGGTTTGTAGTTGGTGATCTCCCGTAGGCCCCTCCAGACAGAAGCAGTATCGTTGTTACCAAACTGCTCCTGTAGTCGTTCTCTGTGCCGGGACTTGGCTGCTTTCAGTTCTTTCCTGAACTGATATTTAGCTGCTTTGTAGCCGCTGCGGTCCCCCTCCCTGAAAGCAGACTCCTTTGCTTTCCTGAGCTGCCGGAGTTTAGCAGTGAACCAGGGTTTGTCGTTGTTATAGAGAGTGGGCATACTTTTTAGAAGTGAATGACTTTGCAGATATCATCACTATGGGAAACAGGGAAAGCTTATTTGAGAGGGAAAATAATATCTTACAAATAACAACTAAAATTACAGCAACTATGGCAGATTAAACGTACCAAACTTTGAGAAATTCTTCATAGCCAATGCATTGCAATACCTAAAAAAAATGGATAAAACCATCCATCACCTAACCACCTTTGGATCAAATTAGAACAAGCATCCTGTAACAATATAAGATAAGATATGCTTTATTTATCTCACAAAGGAGAAATTTACATGTCACATTTGGCATGGATAGGTCCACTCAAGATTGTGCAAAAAGGGAGGAAATTTGTTACATGTTAAATGCAGGATATATATGGACAATAAAAAAAAGTGGCAATTTAAAAGTGGCAATCAGAAATAGTGTCAATATTAGTGCAGGTTTTTTCAGTCATATACAGTGACTTAAAGTGACTTATTGTACAGTCTGACAGCGGTGGGGATAAAGGCCCTGTGGTAGCGCTCCTTCGTACACTGAGGGTGCCTCAGTCTTCCACAGTCCTGTGCAGTGGGTGGGAGGTGTTGTTCATGATGGAGGTGACTTTGACTAGCACCCTCCTGTCCCTCACCTCCTCCACAAAGTCCAGGGAGCAGCCCAGAGGGGAGCTGGCCCTCCTGACCAGCTTGTTCAGTCTGCTTCTGTCCCACTCTGTGCTGCCCGGGGCCCAGCACACGGCAGCGTAGTATATGGCTGAGGCTACCACAGAGTCATAAAAAATCCTGAGCAGAGGCCTGCTCACTCCGAAGGACCTCAACCTCCTCAGAAGGAAGAGGCGACTTTGGCCCTTCTTGTACAGGGCGTTAGTGTTATGGGACCAGTCCAGTTTTTTGTTAATGTGAACACCCAGGTACTTGAAGCTGTCCACCAGCTCAATGTCCTCCCCCTGGATGTTCAGCAGCGTGTGGGAAAGTGGTTTTCTCCTGAAATCGATGACCATCTCCTTGGTCTTACTGGTGTTCAAGCACAAGTGGTTGCGCTCACACCAGTCGACAAGGGCCGTGATAACCGACCGATATTCCAGATCGTTCCCCTCAGACACACAGCCCACGATGGCGGAGTTGTCGGAGAACTTCTGCAAGTGACAGCTGTGTGTGTTGTGTGTGAAGCCTGAGGTGTAGATGGTGAAGAGAAACGGTGAGAGGACAGTGCCCTGAGGGGCCCCAGTGCTGCAGACTACCACATCAGACTCACAGCTGCGCAGCCGCACGTACTGTGGTCGCTCTGAGAGGTAGTTGATGGTACATGCAGTGAGGCTACTCTCCACTCCCGCGTCCTCCATCTTCCCCCGCAGCAGTAATATCAGACTTACCTGCACTCAGCTCCACCCTCAAGAAACACAACTGCTTCAAAATTACTGTAATTGCAACAACCCCTACACCTTACTAACTCTTCCACTGCACCATGCAAATTCACCCCACTTTGGCACAATCCTGAATTCCTCACTAACAAAACACCTATACAATACCCCTCCTGGCAAGAAAAGGGACTAACTCACCTGCAACAATTCAGAACAATACCCCTTAAAACTTTAACAAACTTTCAAATGAATATAAACTTCAAAATCAACACAGCTTTCAATAACTACAAATAAAAGCAAGAACCATGACCAAAATGAAGCTTATATGTAATACCCTGGCATCATAAACAAACAAAAATCACAAGAAAACTATCTCCAAACTATATACATTTATCAATACTGACTCATCAATAATTACACAAAACACTGCTCCCTGAAACCTGGATAGAAAGATACAATAACACATTCAGGTCAGAAATTTGGGGGTAATACTGGACTCAGACCTAAATTTCAATAGCCACATAAAATCAATAACATCAGCAGCTTTTTACCATCTGAAGAACATTGCCAAAGTTAGAAATATAGTGTCCAGGGCAGACTTGGAGATTCTTGTCCATGCATTTGTCTCCAGCAGGCTAGACTACTGCAATGGCCTGCTTACAGGTCTGTCCAAACAGACCTGTAAGCAGCTGCAGTACATCCAAAATGCAGCAGCTAGAGTCCTGACAGGAACTAGGAAGTATGACCATATTAGTCCGGTCCTCAGGTCTCTGCACTGGCTTCCTGTGGCTCAAAGAATAGATTTTAAAACAGCTCTGCTTGTGTACAAGTCTCTCCATGGCCTTGCACCAGAATACATTAGTGACATGTTGGTGTCATATGAACCGGCCCGGACTCTGAGGAGCACAGGGACTGGCCTCCTGCTGGTGCCCAGAGTGAGAACCAAACATGGGGAGGCTGCGTTTCAGATCCATGCAGCTAAGATCTGGAACAATCTCCCTGAAAATGTGAGGGAGGCGTCTACTCTGTCAATGTTCAAATCCAGGTTAAAGACTGTTCTGTTTGCCTGTGCATACAACTGAAGGATTTTATCTCCATTTTTAATGCACTGCTGTCATTTATTTATTTTTTTAAATTTCTTGTGTAATTTTGAAAGTTTTAATGGTTTTATTCTTTTGTGGGATTTTAATGTTCTAATTGTGTTTTAATCTTTTGTGTGATTTTAATGTTTTAATTGTGATTCTGGTGTTTGTTTTATGTGATGATTTGTGATGTGGACTGTGAAGCGCTTTGTGTTGCCCTGTGTATGAAAGGCGCTCTACAAATAAACTTTGATTGATTGATTGATTGACATTCACCATGACCCACAATACAAATCTACAGATAATACAATATAAGATCATTCACCAGACACACATCACACAACGCAGAAAATATCTGATGGGACTAACAGACACAGACATATCCTCACAATGCACTCAGTGAATTTCGGACACTCACTTAGGGAATGCTCACCTGTGCAAAACTTCTGGCACACAATCACACAAAAACTCCCTGAAATCCTGAGCTGCAGAATTCCACTCTCTTCTCTATGCCTTCTCTGTCACATCACTGACAACAAACCACCAATTTCACAAAAACTGCCAATGCAATCATAGTACATATCACACCCATAGCACTGGCTCACAGTGACACGATGGAAGCAAACACTCCCTTTGAAAGCCCCATAACACACCGACCTAGTATTTGTCAATGCATCACAACTACACCGTGATGGTGTAGTTGTGATGCATTGACAATGCACATTGTCACATTCACTAACAAAATGAAACAGTCCTCGCAGTGTTAAATAAAACAATATCTAAATTTCCAAACACTTTTTGTGGCGTATGTACAATAAAAGTGGCAATTAAGAAACATTGGCAATAGTAGTGCAGGGTTTTATTTATTTTTTCCAATGACCCCTGATTGCTTGACTACAGATTTACCTTTGACCATAACCTGGGCAGAGGTGAAGGACCCACCTTTGAGCCGCATTCTCTCCCTCAGCAGTTTTATCCTCTGGGTCGCAGAGCAGGACTGCCCCTGGTCTCTGGACATTACACAGGAGCCCTCCTCCAGCTGTGATGAGCGGCTGCAGCTGCTGCTTCATGGGGCCCGGTCGCAGATAGAAGCTCAGCGGCTCTCCCTGCTCACTCACGAACAAGCTCTGTGGTTGAGGTGAGTCAGAGCTGTTGGAGGACATGCTGTGTCATGTGTCCTTTAGAGTCTGCACCCAATCACACACTAGAATTAGCATGAGACACAAAACCTCATGCTGTCAAATAAATGTGTTTTCTAATTTCAGTCATTGAGCTGCTCTGGGGAGATCACAAATGTGCAGTTCACTCAAGTTAACTGGAAGAAACTGGAGAGAAGAATGAAAAGCTTTACCATCCAACAGGACCATACAGCAGACTACAGGGAGGCTGTCCTTAGAGATGATTGTGTGGCATCAGAGCTGAGGTCCCTAACGTTCAAAACACTGAAGAAGGAACTACAGCCCCGTAAACTGCAACTCAGCTCTACTAGTTAACAATGTTCAGATCAGTGAGAAGGACACGGCATTGAGTTTGTGTTGCTGTTATAACCATATATCTGATAATACTGAGGTTATGGCTGCATATGAATTCAGCAAGAATATTTCCTTCCTCTTCCTTTTGTGTGCTTTAAAGCTGACCTTTGTGACACAAGGCCGCAGTGAAATCTAACACCTTTAATATGTTTAACGCTAGAACTCCCAGAGTAATCCATTTGACGGCTTTTAGAGTTGGAAGTGCAATTCCTGCTCATGTACCTTTTTGGTCTTCAGAACTTTTTTCTGTATGTAGTTAATTTCTATAGAATTAACTTATTTGTATCGATTCTGGACTGTGGTTTTCCAGCAGCGTTTTGCCTTTACTACTGTCTTTGCTTGCTGAGTAGAAGCCGTGTCCACTGAGGATAATGAGCGAAGCTAACTGTTCATCAGTCTGAGCTCAGGACCAGACCAGACCTCTCCCCTGACCTTAAGCTGCGGTATGGCCTGGTGTGTGTTGTATTCACTGAACACAGGGAAGAAGAAAGGAGTTAGTTTCACCTGAATTGATGGAGAAACAGTTCGCGCCGCGTGAACAAAACAAAACCGAAGTTGCTTCCGCTTCCGGGTTCTGACTCGTGACGTCATGGCACTAAAGCTCAACAGCTTCACTGCGATGGCTCTAGAATGATATCGGGTTACCGCTCTTGAGAACCTATTATTCTTTAGACTTTTGCTTTTGAACATGTATTGAAAGAAACTATTTAAACAGAACTGTTTATCACCTGGATTTGAAAATGGTCAGAGTAGAAGCCTGTCTCACATTTTCAGGAAGGCTGTTCCAAGGTTTGGACTGCATAAATCTGAAATGCTGCCTCTCCATGTTTTGTCCTGAATCACCAGCAGTCCCTTTGCTCCTCAAAGTCCCAGCAGGAGGCCTGTCCTTGCCCTCCTCAGAGTCCCATCAGGAGGCCAGTCCCTGTGCTCATCAAAGAGTTGGTTCATATGGCACTAACGTGTCAAAGATGTACTCTAGTGCGAGACTATGGAGAGACTTGTACACACGAAGAGCTGCTTTAAAGTCTATTCTGTGAGTTTTCTTAAAAACAACTGCATATAAATTATATCTCAAAGAACTTCCTTCGTTTATGGTACATATTCACTACTCTTCTGATCTTAATGCTGTGAATACCCGACTGTGACTTCCTGTTTGTCCCATGGCATGAAAAAATGATTCTGATTCTGATTTCATAGCATTATTTGAATGTCCTTCGTATACATGTATTTATTAATGATATTCCCCTGGTTTGGCTTTTGTCCATGAATCATTTAACTGCAGTTTGAACATTTAGAAAAAGTGGGTTGGGGTCATGAGAACAACCCCTGTCTTTTACTGCACATACTCTGTACTCAGAACTTACAATAACAACTATGTAATCTCCCTGTGTGGCCACTAGAGGGAAATATAAACCCATCACATTTCAGGGCAGAGTCAACCACCGTCTCTTCGCATCAGTAAGTGAGATTACAGATACACACTTTGATCCTGTCACTCAGTAGTTTATGTACTATTTATTGCAATCAAAGTAGCTTTAGTTATATGACGTCTTTGTTGATTTATATTTTGGTTTACTGAATGTTAGTTAATGTAGAAGTGTTCTTACAGCAATGTGTGTGTGTGTGTGTGTGTGTGTGTGTGTGTGTGTGTGTGTGTGTGTGTGTGTGTGTATGTGTGTGTGTGTGTGCGTGTGTGTGTTTATATGACTGTTGGCCTCTGTGTGTGGGCAGTAGAACTGTCATTCTCCACATATGGAAATTTTCATCATGTTCGTGTGATGTCACATGATATTAGAGTGAGTCACTGGTGAATCGTCCTCTCTATGTGAACCTTCTGGATCCACAGTGATAACAATAATGTGTGTCATTATAATCTGGCAAAAGGTAAAGCCCTGAGGCCTCAGTGTAAAGTTTTTGAAGGTACACAGAGGAACACAACATTTCTTCAAAACTACACATGCGTATACTAGAGGGAGTGAACGAACAACTGTGTTTGCCTGATCAATCACGGGTCCAGCAAACAGTGACGCCCGAGTATACACCCACTATAACTGTTCATTCAGATTTGAGAATAAACTTTTTGCAAAAATAGCAATCCGTCACTTAGAGCCCTATGTCCTTGATCCAGAATCACACCCCAATTAGTCAGTGGCATACGAAAAGTTTAGTCTTTTATTGTGGGAACAAAACCGTTTTCAAGATCTTCCTTTGAGTAAGTCCAGTTTTCACAGAAACCATTTTTGCTGGAACAGTCTTTGGCAAAGTGTTGCTCGCAGAAAAATACAGTTTTTCAGGGGCAGATCCCAGCCACATTCTCCACATTCTTCGTCTTTGGGCCAAATAGTGTTGTCATATATTTACATCCAAAAATAAATTTTCTCTAAGTCACATGATGCCAACACAAAACAGCACAGTCTATGGGTGGTAGACACAGGACCATGCTAATATTTACAGTCCATGGATCATATGCTGGACCTGGAGAGAGGCTGCAAGCTCCTCATCAATCACCTCCTGGAGGCGGGCTTCTCACGTCCCAGATTGGTATTGAACAGAGGTGTTTTGCTGCCTCTTGAGAATGAAAGAGAAAGATAGCTCTAACTAAAGCTTGAGGGAATCCATGAAAAAACTACTTTGGATATGTGTTTGAAGGCCAAATAGCACAGTAATTATGTTTAAAGCATAGAAAAGTCGAAAAGCATGTTATGGGACCTTTGAGGATGAGTTACACAAATTAAAGCAGATCTGTGACTCACAGCACTTGACACTGACTAATGTCTCCTGCTACAGAGCTCCTGACACTGACACATGGTTCCTAACACAAAGCTCCTGACACATATCTCCTGACACTGATTCATGATTCCTGACACACAGACCCAGACACAAAGCTCCTGACACATAGCTCCTGACCCACAGTTCCTGACACTGACACATCTCCTGAGACTGACTCATGACTCCTGACACACAGCTCCTGACTCATGACTCATGACACATAGCTCCTGATACATAGCTCCTGACACGCGGCTCCTGACACATGGCTCCAGACACACGGCTCCTGACACACAGCCCCCGGCATACTATGCCTGACACATGCCCCCTGACACTGACACGTGGCCTCTGACACACGGTTCCTGACACATAGCTTCTGACATTGACACACAGCTCCTGACACTGACTCAGGGCTCTTGACAATGACACATGGCTTCTAACACTGACAGGCGGCTCCCATCACACGGCTACCAAGACACGGCTCCTGACACATGGTTACTGACACTGACGTGGCCTCTGACACACGACTTCTGACACTGATGCACAGCTCCTGACACAGACACGCGGCTCCTGATACGCGGCTCCTGATGTGGGTCCAATGTCACTTTGTAAAAGATGGTTGTAATATGACAAAGTTGGAATCTCCCTAACACAAATATCCATCTGTTTCACCAAATTCAGGTTTCAGCTGAAGCAGGAATGCAGAATGGAAGATTAGGAGACGTGGTCCTCAGGGCTCTCCCTTCTCCATACCTGAGCTCATCAACATCACAGCTGCATTCAAATAGAGCCTCTCAGTCCTGCATCAACCTGCTGTTTGTGCAGAAAACTATTGGATCCTCCTCCTGGAGGTGTTCTGGGTCGTTCCGTCTGGGTATGATGTCTGATCTGCAGATTCAGTATATGTATACAAACATAACATTATTACTAGGGCTTTGTAATTAATTAATCTCAATTAATCGCATTTCAATCGCATATAAATATTTGACCTGAGAAAAGTGAGAAGTAATTTTTTTCACATTTTTAGTTTACCATTGAATAAGGGCTGCTCTTACTCGCGATTTTATACTTGCTTCTTTTTTAATGCTTAAGGTTAGATCAGCTAAAATAATCCACTCAATCCATGTCTGTTGACTGTTTTAAGTGTTTGCACATTGCAGCCCAAAAAAAAAGAGTTTGCACCATGACTGAGCTCACCATGTCAATTGATAGGTTCCTAGGCTTTCAGTGTACCATGCAGGTTAAAGAAATATGATTCAAAACTGCCCTCTCAAAGTTTTGCGGTACATGAGACACGAGCTGAGCAAAGAAACTCTCTCCTGTGACTTACTTGACTGACTTGTCACAGTTCTTATAATCAAAAAAAATCATGGGCTGTATCCGAATGTCCACACTATACCCTATCCACTCACTCACTATATAGTTCGGGACTATATAGTGACTGAGTCAGTGCACTCATTCTGTTAGCGATTCGGACACGCTGCACACTATTTTTAGCCACGGCCCGCATCACACTCCCGTCACATGTCATTGGATCAATATACTTATATATAAATAAAGGTATATTAAAATATCAATCTTTGTCTCATATACATGTATAAAATTCCAGTGCACTACTTTTTTTCTCTGGACATTCGGACACCCCTACAAAATGGCGTGACCACTATATAGTGCACTATATAGGGTATAGTGTGGACAGCCCTGGAGAAATGCACAGAGCTTAAGTGGACGCATCAGTATAATCAGTCCGTCTGAAACTCACCCAGTGACATAGGTTTCGCGGTGCAAAAACACACATAAGATCAAATGGGTCATTTTTTTTAACACGCTAATTTTGTGGCGTT